AGGTTTATTCCCATAGACTTATGTCTTCCCCTCCCTGCTCATCCCTCATTATCAGCATCCCTCATGGCCTGAATGACACTTGGCACACAGTAGAAACTTAGATGATTTCTGAATAAGTATAATACATATATTATGAAAATTTTAGGAAATGAATATAAGGGAAAACGTAAAAGAAAATACTGTGTGCATTTAGATAAGAATACATAAAGGAGAGTTTAGATATATAAACAACAAAAAAAGTTGGCATTTAATAGAAGAGAAACAATGACCTATTCCACAGGGTATATGTAATCTGCCCCATCTTCCAAATTGCTAAAAGAGAGATAATTAGCCTAAAGGTAACTCTCAACTCTAACCACTAAAGGTGTGGGGTCCACTTTTTTTTTTTAATAGTAGGGAGTGTTTGGGAGCAGGATGTTGACACACATACACACCAATAGGCACCATAATTCAAACTACTGAGATCTTAGACTAATTAAAACTTTAGAGCTTTAATTGTTGGAGTTCAACCTTCAAACTTTGCAAGATTATTGCACTTAGAGGATGTGTGAGGTTACAGTCAAATAAAACCTAGACAAGTTAATCTGCTATATTAACTGGTATACCTAATTATTCTATTACATAGTAATTAGGTATTGGTGCTAAACAATTCATGTAGATTATTATAATAATTAGCACAAGGAAGTTACACTTTCCTTCTCCCCTCTGGCTTAACTTATTTATATTCCAGTATGTATAGAAATGCCTGCATCTATAGTGTTCTGAGGCCACTTTCCAATGCCTACCATATGTACCCATCAGCACAATATGGAAGTCCTATGCCCCAGCCCAGATTGTCACTTTACATCTCTGATTTCACAGACCCAGGAGACTCCTAAAGTTCTCTCTATATATATATCCCCTCCTCTTTGTTCTCTATTTCTCCCACTCCTCCAGAGGAAACTTCAGGATGGTGTGCCTCAAATGTATACAATTCAGGAAATATTTTAGACAAATAATATAAAATCATGAATTCAAAACTAGGTAAAATTGTTATTTATTTAAAATGAGAAAAGTCTCAATTAATTAAAAACTAATAAATACCACAGAATCTGGAAAAATAAAGCATTGGATTTTACACTTCCATGCATTTAAAACCTTCCCTCTCCTCCATTACTCATATGTACCCAGTGTCAGTCACTGCAGGCTGATAGGACCCAACAGTCCACCTCTAACCCTGCACCTTCAGGTGAGGACACCAAGTGGGCAATAAGAAGACTCATACAAAGATAACTTCACTGTACATAGGAGTGAGTGCAGATCACATAGATACATTTTTCTACTACATCCCTTGGATCCAGAAAGTGCCTGGAGTCACTGTAACTCCAACATGAGGAGGAGCAACAGAGACAAGGTAAAATGGAAAAGTCCGTGGATTTAATCACATGGATCCGAATTTTTTTTTATTATTATTCACGTGATTTTAATTTAATTTGGGTAAACAGCTGTTGAGGATTGTTTTAATATATGAACAAATAGGAGGTTAACAGATCTGTTTGTTTACTTTCACCTTTCCTTTTCATTATATTTAATAATTCTGTTCAGGATAATGTAAATTGTTCTAAAACTTGTTTTCTTAGTACCTGTTGAAATGTTACATATTTTTTTTTTAGCATCATTGTCAGAATTCCTATTTTCATCCCAGTGCCGGTGAAGACAAAGATGAAACCAAACTAAAACTTCCTCGAGAGTTATCACAACAGAATGTATAAACTGATACATCAATGATTTATAACTCAACAAGTAATGCTCAATCAATGAGTCGATTTATTTTGGGAGGATATGGACACATTGATAGATTCCTCCGCTTTGAACTGCTTACAGAACCTGCCTGGACTATGTATCACTTGTATGCTTTGTGATCTATCTGTTGATGCAGCGAATTATGGTAGTGCTAGCATATCTTTGCTGATGTGTCACCAGTGATGCAATTTTTCCTAGGAGCCTTCAATTGACTTGGTGTCGTGGCATTTCTGTATCCTCCTCCCTTCTACTAGTGATGGTCTAATTTTGGGGGCCAACAGAGGTGAGGCAAAGAACCTCACCCCCCGACTGGTGCATAGGCCTATCCACAAGTATGGCTATATGCTGGACCGGTAGTCAGTGACGGGTATGATCCAATTGCAGTGGTATCAACCTAAGACAGGAGGCTGACACCTAGAAGTCAGTTTTCCGATGACGGGTAAGAACCATATGTTGAATTGGACAAACCTAACAGGCACGGTCCCTAGCCAGATTGCTTGTTGCTTAAACAGAAGGGGGGAGATGCTAAGAGCCAAGTATATGATGCATGGCATTTTTGGTTGAAAGGTGACGCCAGCTAGCCATTGAGATGATATGATTATGTTTAGATTTGCATTCATATGGATATTGGACTCCTGCTGTTCACCTCGGCCTGCGACGGGACTCCTGGAGAGTTCCCATTGGTTGGGGAAGTACAGTAGGAGGGAGTTCCGGGGGAGGAACTTTCTCTGGCGATTCCGGGAGAACACCTCGTGGGTGGATCGGCGATCTTCCCGGGGGCGTACAGAACATTGGTGGCAGTTTCAAAAAATAAAGTTTGTTCCTGCTTGAGTGGCTCGTGATTTTGTGCCCAGCCAGACTGCGGCAATAGGTAACAAATCCTGCTTTTGCAAATATTGCCAAATAAATAAATACATCTCTAGGGCCCATCTAGAACCTTGTAAGAAACCCAGGCATGTGAGGGGCCCTGAAGTTCGAGTTTCATCAACTTATTGGTAAATCCATCTTTGCCCTCCTAGATATTCTCCCACAAAATCCAACACTCAAAATACCAAATTCAATAAGGCCATGAGGCTCAAGGTACCAGTATGAGGGATGAACAAACTGCCAAGGGAAACACTGAGTAGAGTGATACAGATGCCTTCTGCTGGGTCTTAGGACAAAGAGGGATGGAGGGATGATCAGAGTTCTGAGGAAAGTCCAGACTTTGAACTCCAGCAAGTGGACCCTAGGTCACTAAATAACTGAACTATGTTCTTTGCATGTATTACTGAATTTCCTCCTCAATATCACCTTAAAGAGATGATTAAAGTGATGAAGAAGGGAAATAGAAGGAGAAAAACAGGAGGAGGAGAAGGCAACGGAAGAGGAGGAAGAGGATAAAGAAAAAGAGGAGGAGAAAGAGGAGGAAAGGAAAGTAAAGGAGGAGGATGACTAAGGAAAGATGGAGAAAGGGACTAAAGAGATTAAACAAAAGGGGAAATGAGAAGGGAAAGAAAAAGACTAAAGAAAAAAAGGTGGGAAAGGATCAGCCAGAAAGTTAAAAAAGAAGTCTCCTTCTTCTCCTGGAGGCAGTCATATTTATCACCAGTGTCATAACAAAATTAAAAGATTGTTCAGACTATACACTCATCCTCTTAAATTAGAAAGAGTGACAATTCTTTTGGCTCCATTCTGGAAAATCTAAGTTGTCATGATCTCACTATGAAAAAAAAGGGAAATGGGGATAATCAACCTCCCAAGAGACTGATAGCACTGTAAACAAATGCCCTGTAACCCAGCCATTTGGTTGCTGTCCACATTTTCCAGTGGCATGTGAGTCTTTCATCCAGACTTAAAGGGAATGCCAATCTCCATGTCATAATCAATCTTAAAATTTTTAACCCAACCCCAACACTTCTCAGAAAAACTTGGGTTTTTCTTTATGTTTGCTTGCCTTACTCTTTTAACTGACACTCATAATTTTCTTCCAAATTTTATTTAAATAAAATAAATATTCCAAAATATTATTTTCTTCCAAAAATAATAGAAAACTTAGAAATATCACTTAATCTGGACTGCACATGTGAAGACTATTGAGAAAATTTGAAAAATTAGAGTTCAAAAATGGGTGGTACAAAGTAGCACGTCAGACCCGAAAAAAGTTAAATTTTTTAGGGGGAAATGTGTTTAATCAGCCTCAGAAGCAAACTCTGTCACAGAAGTTCTGGAAACTCCATAGTTTCACAGATCTGCAGACTCATTGACTTCCTTATTGTCAAGGACCTCTGGAGGTCACTTAATGAATCTCCAAGTCACTGAATGAAACCACACCTAGCCTAGGATTCCAGAGGAACATAATCCATACTATCAGCGGGAACATCAAGAAAACATTTCATAGCCTATTCCAGTGGGTTATAGTCCTCACTCTAAGGAAATCCTCCATTATTTCTAAAGATGCTGCTCTTGCTCCACATCTTTTGTAAAAATAATGAAATCAACATCTTTACAACCTCAATAAGAAAAAAATGAAGAATTAAGGCACATTCTCCTCTCCTGAAAACTAATTTGTCTGTACTTTTCTCTGTGTGGCCCTTGCCCATAAGCAAGGAGCTCCCTGGGACCCTCGATTATAGGTGGAACTTCTAATATCTCATTATAAGAAAGAATTGGTTGGTGCTGGGCTGAATAAAGTATTGTTTCATAGGGCCTAGAAACTTGGGTGTTCAGACTGCCTCCCATGGCATAAAGCCTGTTTGAGAATTAAAAGTGATGCTCCATTGGGTACATCTGAAACAATAGCACACTTCTAAGGCAACTGGTACTCCCAACATCATACCAGAACATAGCTTCCTCCCAGGAGCAATACTAAGTGTTTCAGTAACTCAAATGAAAGGCGGAGGGCTGGGAAAGTTGGGCTTCTCTTTGAGGAAAGAATAGGAGAACACAGGTTGGCCTTCAGTCAAGAAGCAATGACCACTCTCTGCTGCCTCTTTGCTTCCTCCCCCTTGATCTCCTAACTTCCTCACCTTTCCCTGTGTCCCTCTCCTCCACATGTTGAGCACATACGCTGCTTTTAACGAGAAAACTAGTAAACATTTCTGTGGATTTTTAATACTAAAACATTTTATCCCTGTGAAGTGAATCTCATGAATAAAATGATATAAAGAGAACAACTCTGAGCTGGAAGTCAGGACTCCAAGGTTGTTTTCTATATTTAATATAGCACCAACAGGCTCTATGAACTTCTTTAAGTCACGTCATCTCTTTGAAACAATTTCTTTGCCTGTTAACTGAATGGTTGGGTTAGATGGCTCCTTCCGGCAAAAAAAAGGGGGGGGGGGTGGTGTCATCATTTCATTTTTGGAGGAATTTCAAGAACTGAAAAAGAGAGAAGAAACTGTTAGGCAGGAGATGTAGTTTGGACTCATCAAACCAAATCACATGGACAATTTCCCAGCTCCCACCCTTTACATATAAGTAAGTCTTTGCATGTGTGGTGTGTCACCTTATGATATAGCAAACACCTGAAAAGAAGGTCTCCACACTGAAACCCAAACTAGCCTATATTTACTGATGCCTCAGAGGATGGTATCCTTTACCAAGATTTTAAAAAAAGGACAAATTCTGAATAGAGAAAAGTGATGCAGGGGGAGTCAGAGCAGCTACTCTCAAACACCAGCAGCCCTGATTCACCCCACACCCATTATCCCGTGTACTAAAGGGGCTCTTACCAAAGATGGCATGTGATCACATACGAAGGGCCTGTTTTGCTCACTTTTTGGACAATTTTCCCCATTTACATCTTCTGGCCAGCCTGAGATCCCAGCACCTCCTCTTCCCAACTTGTCACCATATCCTTGCTTTTTTTTGCAAGTGGATTTCCCAGTTCCTTCCCACAGGATCAGCTCACTGAGTAATTTTTTCTTTGTGAACCCACCGGACTCTATCTCAAAGTAAGTCTTCCAAAAGAAGGATATACTTTATATACAGTGGAATCAAATAATTCTCACTCTTGCTAGTCAGCAGTGAATAGTGTTTGAGACCAGAGTGGCCTGCTGGCAAAGGAGAAGGGCAAAGGGCTCCCCAATGCCATTAGGAGCGTGAACAGTACAATTTTCCTGGAAAGCATTTGCTAATATAGATGAAGAGACTATAAAATGTTTAGCCTATGACATATCCTTATTTCTTAAATCCTAAACAGGTAAGAAGAGTTCAAGTCAAGTCTGAGCAGAAAGGGAATCCAGACAGAGGAAAAAGAACTGATATCACTTGTAACATTTCTAATAGAAAACAATAGCCAGCTGGCTTAAATAATAAGCACATATCCAAAGACACCCAGAGGTAGGATGGCCTTTAGGGTTGGTAGATTTAGCAGTTCAAAAATGTGATTCCACACATAGGTTCTTTCCATCTCTGTTCTTTCTTCTCCAACATTGCCTTCCTTCTATAGGTTTGACTGGGACTCAAAACCTAGTGGCTAGAAGCATCAAACACAGCTTAGCAATACTCCTGCAGGTGTCTTCAAGAGGTAGAGAAAAGGTGATTTCATGCAACTCTTTCTTAAAGCCAAAAAAAAAAAAGTTTTCCCAGAAACCCTTAGTAAAGCTCTCAATGACCAGGATTAGGTCACATGCCATTCCCAAGTCAGTCATTGGTTGGGAAGCAAGGAGAGGGAGGAGGCAGTGAACCTAAACCAATATTTCTACCCACCTCACACTGAATCAGTTCTCCTGTGTTGCTTCCATTCTGGCAGGAGAGGTACAATGCTCTGGAGTCCACCACCATGTCTACCTAGAGAGCTAAAGGATAACTATGTGAAACAATATAGCTGGATAGGGAAATGGGGAGTAGTCCAGTGAATCTGGGCCATATATGAACTAGAACATTAAAAGATTCAGAAAGTCAAAAATAAGAGTTGAAAGAAGCCAAGCTCCAAGACAACTCCTGAGGCATTCCTACAAGCAGTCCCTGGGTAGAGGTGGTATGAGCTCAAGGGGCAGTGAATTTATTCTATTTTATTGGTGTAGCTGAGCCTGGGGGAGATGACCTCTCTATGCAAGAAAAGATGCATCCTGCTTCTGTGGGCCTCTTATGAATTCAAGCCCTCATCAGATCTGTACAAAATCCTCAAAAGGACCTAAGAAGCCCAGGCCATCAGTTGGCCATCCCTCCCAGGAACTGTTCTAAGTGCACAGTATCAGGAAGAATTAGTGACAAGTAGAAAGAAACAAATCACCTTTCAAAGAGCAAATGGGATTCTGGGAAAGGAGCAGGAAGGGAAGGACATGCAAGGCTGCTGAGTCTGAAATATGCAGTGCTGTGTGGATGAATCATCACCCATGACTTTCAGGACAGGAATCTGCTTTGACTAATCATCCAGTAGAAATTTTTATTCCTACCTCTCACCATCGGAAACCCAACAAACAAACAAGTCTTAGGAACATACTTATCTTCTAGAAGCACTTGATGTGTATATTGAGCAACTAGAAAACCCTCACCCTATAACCTTCACCCCTACACACACACACACACACACACACACACACACACCCCTTATCACACAACACTCCCACACAAGAAAAGTGAAATTGTTATTGATGAACATAAAGTCGTGGGTGTTTTCAGCAATTGGGAGTTCTGGCAGGTGTAACTGCCAAGAAGGAAAGTGAAGCCTCTGACACCCCCAAACTCCAGTCTGTCTGTGATGAGGTCCTTATTTGGTGATGCTTCTACCTGTTTCTTGGTCTCAGGGCCAGCCTGATAGCCAAGGACCTTAGCAGGGAATTGACAGCCGCTGACGTCCCTTCCCAAAGAGATGAATGGAATTCCAGGCAGCTGGAGTCATGCTGGCTTGGGACAGTGGCTTGGAGACCAGACTTCAATGACAGAAGCATCAGGCAGCAGCACTCACGGCAATGTGTGTGCCTACAGAAATGCAACCCACACCTTGGTTTCAAGAGCTGAAAAATGAAAAGAACGTTTAGGAAGGGAAAAGGGCAATAAAATAATAGGCAGAGTGTAATTTATTGCTCTATTAGTCTGTTCTGTAAATAGTTTAAGACTCTGGAGCCATCTGGCTCTGCAAATTGTCCAACCAGGAGTCACGTTAAGAAGCACGAGTGGGCACAAAAACTGTTTTTCAAGACACAATTTCAGTTTTGGCTTGAGGAAACTGAATATGAGTTTGTTTCCTTAAAATTCCCCAATTAGAAAGGAGCCCTTGATCAGAATACGCATACCGCTCCCAAGCGGCAAGCTGTGGAAGCGCCGCAGCAACTGGGAAAAGCTTGGAAAGTGTGCCCCGTGGACAGTGGGAGGGAAGACCAGCCTGCACACTGCCCAGCCCGCCCGACGCGACACCCTACTGCCTCCCTTCGAGGGTCGGGCCGAGGGCACGCGTGCGGGCCAGGGCAGTAGCGCGGAGTACGGGAGACATGTGGTTCCCCAAACCACAGGGATGGATGGATGAAGGTCAAGAACTCCCCAATAGGCAAATTCTTTGACTGGTCCTTTCGAGGTCCCTTTTACCCCATTAAGCCTTTCTTTCTCTTTTCTTTCTTTCTTCTTCTTCTTCTTTTTTTTTTTTTTTTTTTTTTTTTAACAAAAACGGTCTCCATCTCATAGTGGTGTCTCTCAGCCACTGCCCAGGCACTCAAGGAGATGAGTTTGTCTAAAAGCACCCCCCCCGCCGCCCCCTAGGGTCTCTGGAGGTCACCAAAGGTGGGTCGCTGCTCAGGATGCTCACGCTGAAAGCCTCAAGCCCGCGTGGCGCAAGAGCCTAAGTGCGAGTCTGTGTGCGCCAAGGCTGTGTGGGCGGGCACCTATTTTTCTGAGAAGTTCCAGTGCTCCTGTGCCCCGACCTCTGCCTCCCCCTTCACTTTCTAGCTGGAAAGTTGCGCGCCAGGCAGCGGGGGGGGGGGGGGGGGGGGGGGGGGGAACCCAGACTGGCCCCCCCCCCGCTTCCTGCCCGGCAGCAGCCCATTGGCCAGAGGAATCCCCAGGAATGTGAGCGCCCCTTTAAAAGCGCGCGGTTCCTCCGCCTCTGCAGCCACTGTCCCCGAGCCAGCCGGCGAGTTCGGGCTTCTGCGAGCTCTCCCGGAGCTCTCTTGCCTCCTCCGGATTCTCCCCAGGCGCACCGACTGCCCCGGAGCCTCTTCAGGACTTGCTGCCCTTGCCGCACTCCAGCCACTGCGCCCACACAGGTAAGCCACATCGGCCGCCTGCAGTGCAACAGTGCTGCCCTGGCCATCCACCTCAAGCCCCCCGCCTTCAGCCGGTCAGAACGAGTCAGGGATATCCTACTCTCCCCCTTTGCTTGTCCTGTCCTGCCCCGCCAGCTACTGGGGGTAATCTTTTCATGGGACGGCTCCAGAGCCATCCTCTCCAGCCTTGGCGTTCACAAACTTAAGACACCCCGAGAATTTTTTTTCATTCTCTTAATCCTCCCTGAACCTGTACATCAGTCCTCTAGGTTTCTACTTCCTGGTGTCCTCCCTGTACCCCAAACTACATCTCCTTGTCTTGCTGTTCACCCTCGACTTTCCAAGGAGAAGCCCCAGACTGTTGCTCTTTGTGCCTCTCATACTTGAACACTACAATCCCCTGCTCCAGGGCTCTCTTATTTTGTGTGTGTGCTGCTCTCTGGAAAGTAAATCCTGTTGTCCTTCATTCCAACAAATGTGGGGCCACAGAGGGATGTCCAGGCTCTGGCCCCATGCCCATCCCCTACCCCCACCATTTTTGCCCACCATCCCTACTTAGCTGGTCTCTGACCCTGGGCTCTTGTGCTTTCAGCTACAGGTTCCCTGCTGGGCACAAATAGCTCCACCATGGGGCTGGCCTGGGGATTCATTGTTCTGTTCCTGTTGCACGTGTGTGACACCAACCGAATTCCAGGTGAGTCCTTGTGATCCCTTTAGTGGGAGGGGGAAGAGGAAGAGGTGCAGGCTAGTTCAGGCGCATCTTCTTCCATGCTTCCTGCCCTGCTGTTTCACTGCTGAGCCCTGACTGAATATCAGGATGCAGCTTCCCTCTGATCATGGTGTTTATTCAGTTCTTTCAGTGGTTGCCAGGAGTTTTCACTCTGTCCCTCTGGTCCTACCCGCTCAGAGACAAGCCCTCTACCCCTGGCCCCAGCCTAAAAAGTTTATTGTGTCCTCTTTTGTCTAACAGAGTCTGGGGGAGACAACAGTGTTTTTGACATCTTTGAACTCACTGGAGCTGCCCGCAGGGGTTCTGGGCGCCGGCTGGTGAAGGGGCCTGACCCATCCAGCCCAGCTTTCCGCATTGAGAATGCCAACCTGATCCCCCCTGTGCCTGATGACAAGTTCCAAGACCTAGTGGATGCTGTGCGGGCAGACAAAGGTTTCCTCCTCCTGGCTTCCCTGAGGCAGATGAAGAAGACCCGGGGCACACTGCTGGCTGTGGAACGTAAAGACCACTCTGGCCAGATCTTCAGTGTGGTCTCCAATGGCAAAGCAGGCACCCTGGACCTGAGCCTGAGTGTTCAGGGGAATCAACAGATAGTGTCTGTGGAAGAAGCTCTTCTGGCCACTGGCCAGTGGAAAACCATCACCCTATTTGTGCAGGAAGACAGGGCCCAGCTGTACATCGACTGTGAGAAGATGGAGAATGCTGAACTGGATGTCCCCATCCAAAACATATTTACCAGGGACCTGGCCAATATCGCCAGGCTCCGCATTGCAAAGGGAGACGTCAATGACAATTTTCAGGTGAGTCCTATTCTTGGAGCCCTGGTCAATGGGGTCATTTGTTAGTCTGCTGACCTGTCTCAAGAGCTACAGGAAATGCTGCCCTTAGACTAAAACAACAGCTTTCAAACTTAAGGAGTGCCAGAGTCCCCTGCAGTGCAGTTAAATTACATACTGATCCCTCCCACCCCCAGGGTTTCAGAATCATAGATCTGGATAGGGGCCTGAGAATTTGCATTTCTAACTAGTAGCAGGTAATGCAGATGCCAATGCTGGTGGCCTGGGAAAAAGCCTTTTCTGTTAACATCCCTCTTCAAGCATTAGACACTGCTTATGCTCCAAAGAAAATAATTTATTCAAATGCATTCCACCAATTTTAATAGGTGTGAAATGGATACTTTGTATGAGCAAAATCAGTACCACCTTGTTATCTGCTGCCAGTCTGGAATCAAAAATTCAAATAGTGGTTATTTGCTGCTATAGCTTCTTCCTTCCCTTATCTTCTAGATCTTTGCAACTGTGGCTTTGAACTCCCACATTTAACTCTGACACCAGAGTGTCATTATTGATACTAAATCCTCTGGGTTTAGTATCAGATTTCATTTCCTGTGTGCCCAAGTTAGCTGATAACTAAATTCTTTATAAAATGCTGAAGACTTGGCAGAAGACACAATTAAGATTTTAAAGTTGTTTGGCAATTTATGTTGGTGTGCTATTTTGACATAATGATTTTGAAATGGAACTCTTTTAAACTTTCTCTTTTTAAGAAAAAGCTGTTGTGAGCTTTTTCTAACATAAAGAGACAGTCTCCCTACCCCCAGCCCAACCCCACGTGTAACATCCAAAAATAATGTATGTCCTCTGCCCACAGGGGGTGCTGCAGAATGTGAGGTTTGTCTTTGGAACCACACCAGAAGACATCCTCAGGAACAAAGGGTGCTCCAGTGGTGAGTACCCCTCTATTTTAGGGGATATGAGGAAATAAGGGGAATTCCACCACAGATAGACCGAGAAATCCAAGCAAAAGTATTTGTGCATAACTTACCCTAGGTAACATAGTTAAGAGGTTTACAAAAGTGATCTTGATGGGTATTCCACACATCCCCTCTTCCTGCATCCCTAGTCTCACATGAAAAGTCTTACAGCTATGAACTCAAGGGGCTGGCTGATGAGATCATCTGTTTGAAGCCCTTCTATTATTTTTTCATTTTGTTTCTTAGCAGCTACAAATGTCCTCCTCACTCTTGACAACAATGTGGTGAATGGTTCCAGCCCTGCCATCCGCACCAACTACATTGGCCACAAGACAAAGGACCTGCAAGCTATTTGTGGCATCTCCTGTGATGAGCTGTCCAGCATGGTCCTGGAACTCAGGGGCCTGCGCACCATCGTGACCACATTGCAGGACAGCATCCACAAAGTGGTCAGTGGCCTCTGCTCCCAGCCCACTCGCCCTTGAAGGTCCATCAGAGATGGTCCCAAATGAGGCTGAGCACTAACAATAGTTCTTCCCTCCTTAGACGGAAGAGAACAAAGTGCTGGCCAATGAACTGAGGAAGCCTCCACTCTGCTATCACAATGGGATTCAGTATAGGAATAATGAGGAATGGACTGTGGATAGCTGCACTGAGTGTCACTGTCAGGTAAGGGATGGTCACAAACTAAAATAAGAATTGATCATTTAAAAACACACTCTCAGGAAATACCTAGTGGCCACACAAGTTCTTTTTAAGTACCATGACCTGATTACCACAATGGTCTTTTCTTTGAGATGCAATTATGACATCTATGAATTCTTCTTTAAACTCTCAGAAGTCTTATCAAGTCTTAATTCTACCCCAGGCTAAATATCTAGGAGAACAAATCTACTTAGACATCTGAATAATTTAGCTGATTTACTTCAAAGAATAAGTGTTGAATGTCAGGTAAATTTAACCTCCTTAAAACATTCCTCCCCCTACCCAACCCTGATTTGTATTCAGCTCTGGCACAGAGGTTCTTTTACACAGTACTGACTATTGTCCAAATCACATAGCCCCACATTGGTAGGATGTCACTATCTACTTGGCTCAGATGGCACTGCCTGCTGGCATGTGTCCCCACACCAGTGGCAGTGAGTTTGGGGTTTATCTAGGTTATCGAGCAAAGTAAAGCTAATACAAATCACAGATTACTGAGGTTGGGAGCCAACTTCTTTAAATGCCCATTCTTCTCCAATATAATATAAAGCAAGATC